GAATGGCGGTGACTGTATGGTGCGTGTTTAATTTTTGTCCTTCGAGGTAGTGGCGTTTGCTCAACTGTTTCAATTCAGACGTGGCGCCGCCGACAACTACGCGTCATTGGTGCAAATCTTGTCGCGTTCAACGATGTCACGAAGAAGGCTACTGCAACCATAGACCTGCGCAAGGCGCTGTCGGTGGAGGATGACCAGCCCGAGTTGACCGCGATCATGAGCCCCGACTCGGCAGTCACCGCGCGGAGCAGCCGCTTTGTGGACGAATACGAGGGTCTGTATGGCGTAGAGCGGTCCTTCCGCCTGATTTTCCCGCATGAACAGGAGATTGTGTTCTTTGCGGATACGGACGAGGAGAAGCGTAAATGGTGCGTTTCATCTTGCTATCTCCACAGGGCGGCGTGACTCATTGCGTTCCTCTAGGCTCGACGTCCTCCGTGCGCTCGTTGGCCACATCCCGCCGAATCCGCTGTGGGCCGAGCTCATCTGGCAGCGCCAGCACGAGCTCGCAAAACGGGCGTCCGCAGCGAAGGTCCCGAAGGACCCTACGAAGCTGAAACCATGAGCGAGGGCTGACGGTGTCGATGATTATTGCGCGGTACGATACGATGTGGTAGACGTTTCTCCTCTCTCCTCTTTTCCTCTTGTCGAATCTTTTGCACGCCGATCTTGCTTTCCGATTTTTTGTGATTCTCCTTGCATGCCTGCCTGTTCCGCCTCATGACTTATGTTCGAGTTGTACGTATACTATATGCTCCTTATACAGATTGTGGTATAAATATATGGCTTATCCTCTAACGATTGCAAAGCGCGATTCACGTTCAACGTTGAAAGGCAGCGGCACGTCCCGAGGATCGTGCCTTGGAGTCCGAGTTCGAAGCTGCAGCAGCCGCCGCAATACTGAAGCTCAAGCGCACAAGTACGAAGGGATAGACTCTGCTGCATACGTACCGGAAATATTAGAGCACGCATGCAGACATACAACTATTTATATTGATTGGTACATTGTCGGACACTTGTTACGACGGAACTATCGCGCCTTTCGTAAGGTTCCATCCGAGCTGTTCGTACGTCCAGCCGAATACACCACCATCGACGTGGTACCACAAAAATGACTTGTGCATCCCGGGTTTCTTGTGCAGGGCATTGAGGGTAGCCATATCCTCGTCGGACAGGGTGATGAGCTGGGAAGATGCATGTTTAGTGAGGGTTGGAACTCGGGTATGATGGAGATACGGTACCGTAATATTGTCAATCATGCGCTGCTCATTCGCGCTCTTAGGGATGACGACCGTCCCGCGCTGAACGCCCCAGGCGAGCAGAACTTGGCCCGGTGTAGCGTTCGACTTTTCTGCGATACTCTTGATCACAGGCTCGTCTACGAGACCGTTACCTGCGGACCGCATGATTAGGCGACAGATCTTTAAGTATCACGAATAATCCATACCTTGACCCAGCGGCGAGTAGGCCGTGAGCACGATTCCCTTCTCCGCACAAAATGCCACGAGGTCTTCTTGCGGGAGGCAAGGCTGTAGCTCGACTTGATTTGTAGCGGGCACAACAGTGCAGTGAGGGAGAAGCCGCGTGAGGGTCTTGATTGAAAAGTTCGACACCCCGATGGATTTGACCTTGCCTAGTTGCGTTCATGCTCTCAGTTGAGATAGACCGATGATGTGTACGACAAGGAGAGGAAATAAGTACCCGTCAACAGAAGCTTCTCCATGTCTTTCCAAGTGTCAATGAAAGTGGGGTGCTCATCCGGACCAATCGTTTTCCCTTCATTGGAGGGGTGAAACCAGACGTAAGGTATATTGGAGTCAAGAGAGATTGTAAACTGTGGAACACACCGTCCTTGTAAGCCTGCGGCCAATGCATGAGATACAAATCAATGTAACCGCAGTCGAGGTTCTTGAGGGATCGTTCGAAAGACTCTTGGACACTATCATGGCACTCTTGCCTGAATCATATAGGTTAGTTCACTCAAACATGTCAAGAGGCGAGCACGTACGGTAGTTTTGTTGTGATGAAAATCTCTTCTCGAGGGATCCCGGACTCGCGTATAGCAGCACCAACGTGCTCCTCATTGCCTACGAAATTTGAAATTCAGTCAGGCCCAGCGTAGTCAGCGGCAATGCGCATACTGTATCCAGCCGCCTATAAGGATTTGCAAATGTTGAACAAACGAGAACGCTTGGCGGACAACACGGAAAATAATATGTCGCACCGTATCGAAATGTCGATATCCGTTCTGTGTAGAAACGCGTCAGCATTTGACGCGACATGAGGATGGCATACACACCTTGAGCGCCTTTCTGCACATCTCATGGACTAGGACGCCTCCGCCCGGAGACCCCATCCAGCATCTGCGAAGACGCGGTGTAAGCCTTCTGGTACAACCAGAGCATTAGATGGACACTCACCCCATCCCTATACATGGGATCTTTGTCCCGTCGTTGAGCACCTTGTAAGGAACTTCGGGAGCCATAATCTCCGAGGCGATTGGAACCAATCAGTGCACCTATCGATCAGAGAAAGATCAAGATCGTTTGCACAGAGAACTGGCTCTGCACTTGTCTGCGCAAAGTCTGTGCGAAGTGGTGGGATAAAGAGAGGGTTCTGGACTCATGAACTTAGCTGAACACAGGATCATTAAATAGATATCCGGACCGCGTCCTCGTCAACGTGACCGGAGTGCGCGCGGAAGATGAAGTCGATAAGTAACGGGTGCCGGCGAGCCAGCATGGTTTATTGTGGGGGTGGAGCAGCGGTGGAGCCCTAAAACAAACAAACATTGCTATACGGTATACCTGGCAGTCAGTGTTTTACATACGCGTTCTACAAACAACAATCGTTATACGTTCCTGCTGTTTCTGAGATTTTCTTTCGTCCGTTGGTACACCTATATTCGCGTCCTCCTTGTCCACCTTAGATCACACACATGAGGCCCACCTACACGCTCATTCCGTTGGCACCGAGGTGCGTGCCTGCGAGCTCGCGTTCGAGCGCGTCACTGGGGTCGTCCATGACGGGGCTCTCGGGGCGCGCGCCCGCGCTCGCCGTGTAGCCAGACGTTGCACCGGAGTGCGGACCGTGCTCCTGAATGGGCGAGTTGAGGATCTCGTCACGCGAGGGGATAGGCAGGCTGTGTAGGCGGGACGCGGTTAGCAAACGGGGAAGCGGACGAGGAGCAGTCGACCTACCTGTCCTGGCGGCGAATCTGGCTCGCCTCGCGGGCTTGTGCACGGACCTCTGCGCGGAACGAGTTGACCTCTTCCACGATGAGGCGTTTCATGCCGTCGATGTTGTCTTCCTCTTCAAAGCCGAAGTCGAATTTCTAACAGGACATACAGTCAGTTTTGAGAAATTAATGGGAGGGCGGCAGACGCACGGTTTCGCAAATGGGCTCGTCGGCAGGGTCATGCCAGACCTGGAGGTATGGGTGATTGAGCGCCTGCTCGCAGCTGATGCGTTTCGCGGGATCGAAGCAAAGCAACTGCGAGAGAAGGTCGATCGCGAGTGGATTTGCATGGGGGAATAGCGTCGAGAAAGGCACGCGTGGCTTGATAGGTAGCGAGCGAATATAATCTTGTGCCTATATAGAGCGGGGCGTGAGCAGATAAGGAGTAGAGAAAGGATAAGAGAATGTACGAACGCGAGGGGAACCGACACGACGGAGGGTATCTTCCGACGGGGTGCCAAGGTAGTGTAGGATTTGGTTCAGCTGGTCGACATAGCTGGGGACATCGTGGTTAGAATGGTATACTGGTATGATACGAAAACAGAGATCCACGCACTCTCTTCCTTTGAAGATCGGTTTCCCACCAAGAAGCTCGGCAAGGATACACCCAATTGACCAAACATCGATCGCAGTGGTCTGTGCACGCACGTTCAGTGAGCACGTTCTACTGCGGAAATGCACATCCTACGCACATAATTCGCGAAACTGAGCATAATTTCCGGTGCCCTATACCACCGTGTTGCGACATATTCCGTCATGAATCCCTGGTTACCGGCAGATTTCGAGGTGCCGTTGCCCGGGGTATACCCGCGCGCAAGTCCAAAGTCGCAGATCTTGAGCTCGCAATCCGCGTTCACGAGGAGGTTTCCCGGCTTCAGGTCACGGTGGAGAACGTTCGCGGAGTGGATGTATTTGAGCCCACAGAGCGTCTGGTATAGGAAAGACTGGAAGTGCGCGTCGGTGAGTGGCTGTCCCGAGCGGATCTGCGGGCGCTTGTCAGTGCGAGAGAGCAGTGCAAATGAAATGGGACGTACGATGGCATGGAGATCGGCCTCCATGAGCTCTTCCTATAGCAAGTTAAGGTAAGAACAATGAGCGGAGGGGATGTAGACCAGAGCAGCACCCACGTATAGATAAACTTCATCGAAATTGCCGTTAGGCTGGAATACAATGTCCATATCGTACAGACAAGTGATCTGGGAGAAAGTGAGCTACAGGCATATGTAGAGCACGTCCTAACTTACATTCTTATGACCACGGAAGTGGTGTAGAAGCCTAGATGGATATTCGGTGAGTGAGAGGTAGACGCGTTATCGCGTATTCGACGTACCTAATCTCGCGAAGGCATCGCTTGGTCAATATCCTCTGAAATGGTATGGTACGCGTGAGACGAGCTGAAGAAACTGAAGAGACAGGACGCACCTTTGTGTTGATGTTGGTGATCTTCTTAATCGCGCAACCCTCGCCCGATCGACGGTGTCGGGCAGCGACGACGCAGCCGTAGGCGCCTTGACCGAGTTCCTTGACATAGGCATACTCGGAGTCGACGACAAAGGTGGAGTTGAGCGCGGTGAAAGTATGGCGCTGCATGGTGCCAACTCTTGCGATATTATGGACAGTGCAGAGAGTCCTGGTCGAAGGGCAGATCACGGCTGTAAAGCAATTTATTTAAAAAGAAGTGAAACACAGCAACGAAATGCAGTGGATGGGCCTATGATATGAGTGAGCTTGCTATACTCTCTACACTGCTCCGTGTCCCCATGGCCTTATAGTGTAGTGGTTTATCACCCTCGGTTTTGAGGATACTTGACTCTCCAGCCAAGTCCGAAATATCCGGGTGACCCAGGTTCGAACCCTGGTAAGGCCTATGTTTTAGGTTCTTTTTCTCCCCCTCTCACCCCGTGGGTCGGGATTTGCCACCGACGTTGTGCTTGGTTGAGTAGTTGTTAAAGTTTTGCAGTGTACTCGAAGTAACTCGATCCATCTCGTCTCCACTCTTCAGGAAGGATGACATGCATGTACGAAATGTCATACTATCCCTGGACCAGGCCACAGTGTTCCCACCATGAATTACAACAGTAAGCAAAATTCATGGTGGATAGAGATATATTGTAGATACACGACTCGCAAAGCAGACACGACGACCAAAGATAAAGTACTACTCAGACAATTTGTATCCACCCCCGAAGAAATTAGATATACGCCACGACTACAACGGAATACACGCCCATCCAACCGTTTACTGGCCTTTGACAGCGCGAATGAACGCCTGCAGCTTTTCAATATCCTTCGCACTCCCATCCTCAGTCTCTACACCACCGCTAACATCCACCGCCCACGGACGCACGCGCTCCACGGCCTCCCTCACGTTGTCGGGAGTCAGCCCACCCGCGAGCATGATCGGCATCCTCGCCGTCTCGCCACTCGAGCCCGCCCCTCGGAATAGCTCCCCCGCATCGACCACGCCCTTCGCCAGCTCCCAGTCAACGACCTTCCCGCTGCCCCCACTCAGCCCATCTGGCCGCACCGCATCCAGAAGCACGAACGCGTTCAGCCCCGGCCGCGTGAGCCCCTCGAGCCCGCGCCCCGCAGCGTCGACGTGGAATGCACGGATGACGGGCACGGGGATGTGCTTCGCCCACTCGACCGGCTCAGACCCATGCAGCTGCACGAGGTCGAGCTGCGCGGTGGCGACGGCATCGAGGATCTCCGACAGCGGCTGGTCCTGGAACACGCCGACGAGGAGCGGGCGGGTCGGCGTCGCGCTCAGGCGCCGTGCGTGTGCGGTGAACCACGGGACATCACCGCGGCCAGCGTCGAATGGTGCGACGGGCTTGGTGCGGAGGGGGCGCGAAGACCGGAGGGCGGCAGCCATGCGGCCGGCGAAGTCGATGGAGATGCACCGTTTGCTTGTGGGCACGAACATGAGCCCTAGCATATCTGCGCCTGCATCGGTCGCAGCCGCCGCCTCCTCGCCATTGCGTATGCCGCAGATTTTGACGAGCGGGGGCTCGTCGTCCGGGAGAGCCGTAGGAGGGGGTGTGGGCCAGGAGAGAAGCTCGCGAATGAACGCGCGTGTGTCCGGGGCACGCATGAGAGCTTCGCCAACGAGGACCGCACCAACTCCCTGCGCCGCGTACTGTGCCACATCCGCGGGTGCAGAGATGCCGGAGAGGGCGCACAGGACGACATCGGCCTCGCGTACCATATCCGCGAGGCGCGACGTCGTGCCCATATCGACCTCAAAGTCATGCAGGTTGCGGTTGTTCACGCCGATGACCTTAGCGCCGAGCCCGAGCGCGCGCTCCATCTCCGCGGCGTTGTTCACCTCCACGAGCGGCTCCATGCCGAGCGAGACCGAGTACGCGTACAGGGCCGCGAGGCGTTTCGGGGGCAGCATCGCGACAATGAGCAGGACGGTGTCCGCCCCGTGCAGGCGCGCCTCCGCGATCTGGTACTCGTCCAGAATGAAGTCCTTGCGCAGCACGGCCGGGCGGTGCGGGAGGGCGTCGATCGCCTGGCGCGCGAGGCGCATGTCGAGCAGGGAGCCCTTGAACCAGGTGGGTTCTGTGAGCACGGAGATGACCGACGCACCCGCAAGGGCGTACGTCAGCGCCTGCTGTGCGGCGTTTGCGTTGAGGGCGATAGCCCCTTTTGACGGCGACGCGCGCTTGATTTCGGCCATCAGCGCGGGGCCTTGGTGTGTTTTTAGCCGTGGGAGGAGGGCAACGGGCGGAGGGGCGAGGTGCATGGCGAGGAGCGCCGCAAGATCGGCTGGTGTTGTTCCTGGTGTGGCTTTGGCGACCTCGACATCCTTAAGCCGTTGGGCGTAAATTTTCTCGAGGATCGAGGGGATTTTGGCTGCAGATTGTCTCTGTTCGGTGTCAAGAATTTGGATAGGGAAGGGGGGAAGCGTAACGTCGAGTACGCGCGAGGAGGGGTTCTCCTCCCACGTGCCACCGCGCAATGAGAGGAAGTTGCGGAGGGTCGCGTCGCCGGATTCGGAGAGGATACTCTCCGGGTGATACTGGACGGACTCGAGCGTGTATGTACGGTGGCGCACGCCCATGATGACGCCGCTATCTGCAGAGGTCGCAGTGACCTGCAGGACCGCGGGTAGTGTAGCTGCAGACGCAGAGAGGGAGTGATAGCGCGTGGACTCGAAGAGCTGAGGCACGTTGTTGAAGATGCCCCGAGCGTCATGGCGGATGCGCGAAGTTTTGCCGTGCATAATCTCGCCAGCATAGCTGCGTGTGCATTAGGATACTGATTGAGTGCGCAAAATGAAAACACACCTAATAGAGCCGCCAAAAACGTCGACAAGACACTCCAAGCCCATGCAAACGCCAAGGATGGGCACCTTGCCCGTGAAAAATTTGATGGCGTCACGAGAAATGCCAGAATCCGTCTGCGGATGCCCAGGACCGGGGGAGACGATTAGGGAGGTGATCTGGAGGTGGCGCAGGGCATGTGCGGGGATCGCGTCGTTTCTTATGACGGTAACGCGTGCGCCAAGGAGGGAAAGCTGTTGGTAAAGATTCCAGGTGAAAGAGTCGAAATTGTCGATCATGAGGACATCGATGTGGCCGGTCAAATTCGGCGGGAGCGTGAACGGGACAGTCATGGTAGTGAGAAGGACTCGTGGGGGGGACCTGCTAGCGGTGTGCGAGGAAGAGCGAATCGTCAAGCTGTGAGACGGTAAGTATTTATGTGCAGCGTCGTGGGATCTGATCACTGTAGAAGAGGATTGCTTACTGTGGGCGGCTACTCCAGCGGCTAGTTTATATCGGACGACGGACGCGATATGCACTGACTCGGACGACAGCGAGAGGTACTGTATGTATAACTAGAAACATCTTCGTGAGATATCAAGCAAGACAGAGTTCATCACCGACGACATCGTAGAAGCGTTATGCTTACCCCAGGCGGCTATTATTGTCGGGCTTCTTGTGCAGTAAAGGTTTCGGACGGGGGAGTCCAGGGAGTTGCTCGAGAGGACGCGATGGCCAAGCGCGTAGTAAAAGTTAGGAGGCAAGCCTGCACAGTGCAAGCTGGCTGCTGTAGGAGTCATGACAAAATGTCGAGCAGGATTTGATTTTCTTTCACTTTTATCTGATAGTAATTTACATTGCATGTACGAAGCACAATTTTTGTTACACCTGCACCAGGCAGCGGTAATTTTGTTCTGGACAAATAACCCAGACGGCTCGTACGTGAAGAGTCAGACACACAATCTACAATTGAGATGCACCTGTGGACATAGGCCGCATAACGGGGTCGCCTGCATGCACAAGTTGTACACACTGCCGAGACAGGCATGGCCTGTCGAGGTGTTGAGAGCTTGGCGGCCATGGGGGCACAGCATTATGATCCCGGCGCCGAGCAATGAGACCGTTACTGCGACAGGACCGACGGGTGGATTTCTGGACTGGGCGACGCACTATTCTCTTGGGCGACCCGTTTGAAGTGTCCAGGCGTACATCTCATATGCGTTGGGGGATCAGTCTCGAAATGGTGCGCAATTGAAGCGGGGTGGGGCAGTATTTAGTGACACGGCCGCCTAGTGCATAGTCGGATGATGGTATGACTCATGAGGTTGAGGGACGCGATAATGCGAGATTGAAGCTTTGAAGCTTGAAGTACGACGCGATGGACTGGCGTCATGCTGACAACGTGTAAGTCAGTCAATGTGCACACCTTTTCCCATGGAGCCAATATCTTTCATTTGCAACGAAACCCTGCAGACCTTGCATCCTCGCGCGATGCCAAGGCGGAGTGTTTGCCCTCGAGGTTCGTGCGCTTCGAGTCGAGGCTCCTGGCTGCAGTCTCGACCGTGCTGAGCGTTGATACGACCCGATTGTTTGGAACGTGGATTGTATGCGAAAATCGGGCAAGCAGCTCGACGAAAGCATTAATCAGGAGGAGGTACTTATACGTCGAGCTCGGTGGTGCTCCCTGCGAGAGATGCGGATGTTGTGCTGGGATTTGAAAGTCCAGGGCTGTCCAAACTTAGCTCCATCGCTGTTCACAGCCGTCGTGGACCGCAGTCGAGAGCGTCGAGTGCAGGCGTTGCAAGAGGCATCGCCATAGTGATGGACCCCTTGTGTGATGAAGAGATGTTTGAAAGGCAAAAATTGCTGCGGCGAACTTGGACACCGGCGCCGCGGCGGCTTGCCCGGTGCATAACAACTCCAGCAAATATATACACCGTCTCACTGCCACGCCGTATACTTGTTAGCGTCTTTCCCTGTGCGTTCTCTCTCTCTTTCATTCCTTTCTTTCTTCCTTTCTTCGCCGTCTCGCAGCTGGTCTCACCGTCTTTCCCTTCGACTTTTCTCTAGATCCATCTTAGGCAGCGTCTGGAACGCACCCTCCCGCTCGCACTCACTACATAATCTAATCTCTCCAAACGACCCTGCCTACCACCCTACCACACCACTATATCGCACACACGACCACTTAACGCTCATAAACACCACAGTACATGTCGCTGAAGGCTGAACTCGACACATGGGCTGCCGCACTCAAGGCGTACGACGAGGAGGACTTTGAGAAGGCTCTCGATCTGTTCTCGGTACGTTTCGTCGCTATATACCACGCTTGGACTTGCGCATACTCCACGGGGCCTCACCGCCGACTCTATTCAATCCGGTTCACGGGGTGCTTGACTTGAGGTGCTAACAAACGATTCCTTTCTTCACAGCGGATCGCAGATGCCTCTAAAATCCTTTGCAATATCGGCCTTATCTACGCAACTCTCGGCGAGCATGAGGCCGCTGTCGAGCAATTCATAGAGGCAACTAGATTGGACCAATATCTAGCCGTTGCGTGCGTGGCCATTTTCTTTTTGCTTTATCGATGAAGGAG